TACATGAGTTTTAAAATATCGGCATATCGGATATCGGCCAAAATCCCAATACCGTGCATCCCTAATTATTATTGACAGAGTGCAACTGAGGTTGTTGATTCAGCCAGCTGACCAGCAGTGCCCTTTTAAAGCCTAGGAGCAGTTTGACTGTTGCTGATCTGCGTTGTTCTCTGTAACTTCCTGCAGCGTTAAACCCTCCTGTCTTTCCCAGATTGTCTCCGGAGGAGCGCGCTCAGGTGGAGGCTCAGCTGGAGGAGCTGACGGCCACCTACAACCAGCTTCTGGACAGCTCCACCCAGCAGCTGCAGCAGCTGGAGCAGCAGCTGGCCGAGGAGGAGGAGAGAAAGGTTAGATGGACTGAAAAAAAACGGTGGGACAGATTCATGATGGAACTCAGCTCGTTTTAGAAGGGAATTAAAAAAAAAATGACAGTGAGGAAGGAAAAAATATGGCTTTGAGTCTCAACACGCTTGCAAGCTATTGTTGAGTTTGTGAGTCGGCGAGAGTCTGTGTGTGTCAGCATGTTGTGTTCACAAAGAAACATCATCATTGTTTTGGTTTAACCAGCATCTGAGACGCTGTTCAGACTTAAAACTACTACTTGACTTTCTGTACCCAAAGAGGAACAATTTTAAGACCCTATAAGATAGATGGAGTCCGAACTGCGTCTCTGCATGAAATAATTCATCTCCACATCATGAAAAATCTGCAGATTTTGTCATCTTCATTGTCATTATCATCAGAAAACAATCATGCGCTGAGCTGCTAACACCCGAGGCCTCAGTGGTGCTGCAGTAGACGAGTCATTTTAGCAGCAGAGCAGCGTTTTTACCATAGATGCATCGTTAGAAAGCTGATGCATCAAAGTAGACACACTTTCACCCTCATTTCTGTTGCTGCACAGTAGCTCAGTTTTCTCCATGCAGACCTAAAACAACCCTGCATAAAGTCAACACTCCGCATTTCACTTCCTGTCTAAGAGTATCCCATATATGTGTTTAAAATTGTAAATAATGTTTGTGTCATGCTGTTAAAAGTCTGTTGCATCGGTTAAAATCAGACCGAATGTGTTTGAGCGTTATTTATTTATTTAGTTTGTTTGAGAAAGTCAGCGCACCTAAAGGCCAGCTGTGCAAGGCACCAACAAAAAATACTCACTTCACCATTTGAGCATGTTGTGTCCAGATCACAAGAGCGTGTGTGAGTGTTTGCAAATTTTTGTGTTTCTTCTAATGCATTCTATTAATGTGTGAAAACTTTAAACCAGCATTTGTGCTTGAAACTCACTAACAGCTGCCAGAGGAGAAATGTGGACATCACAAGCCGAGGATCAGAGAGAAAAATGGAAAACTGAGGAGAACTGTTAGAAATCCGTCCAGTTTAGGCCAGTTTGATGATCAGATGTTTTGTAGCTTTAGACTCTCACCTCACCTGTAGCCTAGTCGTGTGAGAATATTTCAGGGTCATGTTAGTTTGCAGGATTTAACTCACAGAAAGCTAACTATCAGCTTCTCAGCTGTCGCGCCTCGCTCTGCCGAGCCGCTGAGATGATCCTGTACGGTAAGTAGCGCTCGCTTTCTCTCTTATCGCTGCCTGTTAGTTTAAACCCCTGTAAAGATTTTATTCTTCCTCTGCTAACTTGTGTGTCCTTGCTCACTTCTACTGTTTCAAAGTTTACTTTTCCACATCATGGGATCGATTCATCAGTTTTTGTTTGTTAAAACCTGAATTTGTCCTTTTCCTGTCAGAAATAATTAAACAACAGGAAGTTTTTGCACAATTTGGAAGTATTTAGTATTTTTTTATTAGCCAGATTGGTTAATGTTATACATAAACCAAAAAAAATGCACACACCCACACTCTTATGTAGCTATCAACAAGCTTATGTCATAGTTTAGCCTGTATTGCTTTCTGTGGGTTTCATTTAAACTGCCTGGTTTCTCAGTTGGAATCCCTTTTTTAATCAAAGGTAACATAATTTCAACAAAGTCAGAGATCTTTGTCTTTCAGAAGCTTAATCCAGTCTTGATTTATCTAATTGTTTTGGATTTATTGGCCTGTTTAAAACCAAATCATCAGCCACAGGTCAAGGATTGTAAACTGAACTACTGGATTAAAGTCTATCATTATAAAAAAAGTCTGTTCAAAGTGAAGCCAGGTTCATTATCCCATTGGTTGACGGTGCAAACCAGAAAAGAAGCCAAATTTCTACCGGAGAAATGTCTTAATCGTTGGAAGAGACTAAAACTGACCTATTTGATGACAATTAGATGCGGAGTCTATTCCTATATGGAAAGCATGGCAGTGGCAGCATCATGCTTTGGTTCTTGAATGCTTAAACTGGATTACAAATCATCTAACCTGACTCCGCCAGATGGATTTGCTCCGCATATCCATCTGGAAACCTTCCGTAGAAGTAATTTTTGGAAGGGGCGAAAATACTGGTTAGCTGATTGGCCTATGTTGGTGATAGACGGGCCAAATAAACCAATCAGATCAATGAAGCATATGACGTACTAACAGAGCGACGACGAAGAGGAGCCAATTGATAGATCAAACTCTTGCCGAAAGCAGTCGGGAGAAGAGCAAAAACATCTTTTCCTCTGAGAAAAGCCTCCAGAGCAGTGTTTTGCTCTTCTTTCAGTGAAGTAATACTCTGTAATTCCGATAAAACTTGCTCGATAGCCACGCTAACGCTAGTTTCATCGGCTGAAGCCGCCATGTTCTTTAGACTGAACCGTCACGCTTCTCGTTGCGTCACACCTCAACCCGCCTCAAAGCCAACGCTGATTGGACGTTCGTTTGGTGAACGGCTCCAAATTTTCTTCAACGGAGAGTCTCCAGACTGATTTGCGAGTGAAACCTTGAAAGCTCGCGAGATCAGGATGGTCTCACGAGGCTACAAATCATCAGCCAGATGATTAAAACTTTGAAAAAGATGAATAACAGCAATGGTCTCAATACATTAAACATTCTGATTGGTTTTGAATTAATAAAACAATCATAACATTTAGCTTGCATCAAAAACACAGTTTAAATAAATTGTTAGGTTTAAGAATTGATACCCATGAATGGTTTATGTAAACTTGCTTAAACTGTCTCTAGAGCTTTTTCTGCATTTCTTGGTTCTTGCATGCTTAGTGCTAATTTTAGATTAAGGTTTCTACTTAACTTTATATATACTTGGGATTTTTGAACTGGGTAGAAAAACAGGTTTGTTGGAAATGGTGGTGGGTTTTGTTCCATTATTCACCTACAATGTATTATCTCTATATCATAACATAATACCGATTAGAAGTAGTAACCTTTAGTTCTACAACATGCTTTTCTTGAAATATGTCTAACCTGGACTTTTATTTCCTTTTTCTTTCTCAGAACCAAGCCGCCATCGCTGGAGTGATCGACCTGGGAACAGTGGAAACCTTCTCGGTGTTTCAGGCGGCCCAACGTGGCCTCATTGACCAGGACACCTGCTGTGTTCTGCTGGAGGCCCAGCTGGTGCTTGGTGGACTCTTCAAACCAAACTCATCTGAGATTTATTCTTTGAATGAGGGTCTAAATGAAGGCCTTGTTGATGCTAACACATGTCAATCATTAGCTGAACTTGAGAGTGCCTTAATGTTGATAAGCGAGCCTGTGGGTGATCAAAAACGTCTACCTGTAGCTGTGGCCATGGAGTCTGGATTGATAAGAGAAGATGTTGGACTTCGTATTCTCGAACTCCAGATCAACAGCGGTGGACTCAGAGATTCATGTGGGAAGGTTATGAGTTTCGAGCAAGCTGAGGATATGAGAGCTTTGTCACCCAGGATCTTCAACAAACTTCAGTCTAGGCTTCAGCTAAGAGAGCTGCTCGATCCAAACACGGCTGAAAAAGTAAACCTTGAGGAGCTGAGGCTCCGTTGTATTCCTGACGAGGGTCTCCTTCTCTTTCCTGTCAAACAGCAGCCCGGAGGAACTGTTTGCCTCCGATCTGGAAGAAAAGTTGGCATCTTTCGTGCTGTTCAAGAAGGACTGATTGACCGTGCCGTTACCGTAAGACTCCTCGAGGCTCAGCTCTTTGCCGGTGGCATTAGTGACCCACGTTCAGGTCACCGGCTGACGATTGGGGAGGCTGTGCGCCATGGGCTTATGGACCAGGATTTAGCTTGCACTATGTTAGCACGACAACTGCAGAACGGGGGAATTATCGACCCGCTTGGTGGAGAACGTGTAGATTTAGAGGAAAGCATCCGCAGGGATCTTCTTTCCCCTCGTTTAGCCCTGTTGGTTCTTGAGTCTCTTTGGACTTTTACAGGACTCCTTTGGCCTGAATCAGGAGAAATCATGCCAATTACTGAAGCTTTTGAACAAGGGGTGATTTCAGGAGATTTACCAAGAAACGCCTTAAGACAAAGACATGTTATTGGAGGGCTGTACAACCCAGAAACCCTTCAGGTGTTGCCCCTTAATCAGGCTGCAGAAAAAGACCTCGAACCAGATGTTGTCAGATGTCTCAGAGATATTCATATACCAGACGTTCTCTACAACATGAATCCATCTGGTACCCCATCACTAAACAGACTAAGCTGGGGATCCATTAGCTCCTCTCCACCACCTCTATCATCTCCTCTATCATCCTTCACATGGGAATCTTCCCTAACTGATAGAGTTGATCATGAAGACCAAGCCCAACACAAGCTCCTCTTTCACCTTATGACTCACAGTTATGTAGATGCACATTCTGGAAAGCGGTTGGTGCTGCTCGACAACGATCTCCTTCAGTTGGCTAAAACCACTGGTTTCACTGCAGTAGAATCAGTTAAAGAAAATAAAGAAATGTCCAGTTTAGAAAGTAAGATACCTTCAATGACACCCAGAGAAGGAGAGGATGATGAAAAGGAGGCAACAAAGCATCAAGACAAGGTTTTAGTTGAAACTGTTCCCCAAGTTCCATCAGTGGAAGATGTTAACAGTCAGAGAGTGCAAGAAAATATACCAACACTTAAGGAAAATAAAGACTTTAATCTGTCAGAGGTTCAAGAAATCAAAGTTACAGAAGTTTCACCAGCAAATTCGGCAAGGATGCAACAGCATGTACCTGGTGCAGACCGTGACGGCAAGCACTCGGAGATGGTAGTTGATGGCGAACAATTGATGGAGGAGTCCCAGGACGATACTGAGTTGGAGAGATTAGTCCTTCAACTCAAACAGGGAGGTTTAATGACAGAGGAAGGAGAGAAGCTGCTGCCAGATGAAGCTGTAGCTCAGGGCGTCCTTCCTGGCCATACAGCAGTTAAACTGATGGCTCAGGCTGGCCTGTTTGGGGGATTCTTGGATGCCACCAGCGGGGAGTCACTGAGCTTGGAGGAAGTCATGCAGGAGGGTTTATTAGATGAGGATCTCATGTGGAGTGTCCTGAAGTCGGATAAAACCCTTGCAGGTGTTGTAGATGTAGAGAAAGGTCAGATTCGTGGGGTTAGGGATGCAGCTCAGGCTGGACTTATTGATCCCAACACCGCCGCTCGACTTTTGGAAGCTCAGGTTGTATCTGGAGGGATTGTTGACTTGTGCAGGGATAAGAAAGTCTCTGTGACTTTAGCAGCAAACATGGGTCTGATCGAAGAAGGACAAAGGGAGGAGCTGATTGCACTTGAAAAAGCATTCAAAGGAAAGAATACAGACTCTGCTACAAGCCTCAGAAAAGCCAGTTTACAGCTACAGATGGAGGGTGTTGTTGATCCAGAGTCCAAGTCTGTGGTTCCCTTAGAACAAGCAATTAAGAAAGGGCTGATTTCATCTGATGAGGCATATCAGGTGCTTGCAAGACAGGTGGCTGAAGGTGGAATAATCCACCATGCTTCAGGAATGAGACTCTCCGTTTCTGATGCTGTAGATAGAGGACTAGTGGATCGGTCCATAGCTCCTGGGCTTGAGGAACTAGAATGGATCTATCGAGGAAAAGTCAGTCCCTCAACTAACCCAGAGGCAATTGCTTTCCAGGCAACAACTGGAGCTGTTTTAGACCCTGAAAATGGAGCTAAGCTGACCCTGACAGAGGCTGTGTCCAGGGGACTTCTTGATGAATCCATAGCCACCGAAGTCATGGCTTCCCCCACTCTAACACAAGGAACCATTGACCCAAAAGCTGCACAGATTGTGCCTTATTCAGAGCTTGTGAATCAGGGCAAGATAGATATTGAGACGGGGAAACGCTTCTTGGAAGTGAGGCCATTCCAAGGTGTTCAGGATAAAGAAACCTTGGAAATCCTGACCCTTCCTGAGGCAGTTGCTTTGAAGCGGGTTGACCCAGTTCCAGCTGTGAGGCTGCTCCAGAGCCAGGCAGACACCGGTGGGATCATTGATATCAGGACCGGAGAGCGGCTTACTCTGCCTGAAGCTTCTGCCAGAGGTTTAGTAGTTGGTGATATGGTCAGAGAGATAGCCATGAATCAGTTTGTCAAAGGAGGCTTAGTTGATCCAGCGACTGGACAGCGCGTCTCAAATCTTAGTGATGCCATTGCCCTGAAGCTGGTAACTACAGACCTGGCCTCAGAGATCCAGGAGAAAGTACAGGAAAGTTTGACTAATAAACCCATCATAGCTACAGGGTTAAGCAAAAAGACTTCAGAAAATCTTTCTGCTGTGGAGGTTAGGGCATCCTCAATAGCTCCATGCTCTGTAAAAAGTTTAGAAGTCGAGCAGGATCATGGCAAAACACTGAGAAGTGACATTTTCGATCAGTCACTGATGCATGCAGAAGTTGAGGTAGCAACAGAAAAAGAATCAGTGGAGGTAAAGTCTTTGACACAGCCTGACCAATCCATGGATATGTTATCCAAGTTTGCATCTAATGTTGAGAAAAGAATCCGGTTAGCCATTGATGAGATAATGCCACAAAAAGACAACAGTGAACTGGATAATCTTCTCCTTCAGGAAACCGGTGACACAGTGCAAGACGATTACAAAGAAAGAGAAAACATTATCACCGACTCTGTTAGAGAATCCACCCAGATGCTTATTGATTATAATCAAAAGGACTCAAAGATAGAGGTCCAAAATGAAGATGGGAAAGAGCCAGAGAAAGATCAGGATGCAGACTTTGGAGCAATGGAGAACACAGTCCCAGTCAATTTTGTTTCTGAAGATGGGAAATTATCTGAAATTACAGTCCACAGGGAGGGCAAAGGTCCTCCTGCATTACCAGTGGTGAATGAGGATGTTAAAGAAGACCGTTCTAAAACCAAAACCAGCACAGATGTGGAGCAGTCAGCTCAGGTATTGTCTTCCACTAGTAAAGAGTCGGTCAACAAAAGCAAAAAGAAGAGGAAGAGTAAAAAGAAGGTAAAGGGAAAAGATGACGAAAATGAAACTCATCTTCCAGAGATTGAACCCAGAGATGAAACTGATCAAACCAGTCCAGGAATCCCACGGGATGCTAAGATCACATTAGAGGAAACCCTAACTAAATCAGTCCTTTATCAATCCCCCAAAGACACTTCAGCTGAAGACACACAAGAAAAGTTTGTTGAGAAACCAAAGACTGAAAAGGTTTTAGCTGAAAATAAGCAAGAGGTTGTTTCTCATCAACCAAGCTCTCAGGTGGAGACCGATACAGCTGAAAAGATGTCATATAAGATTCCAGAAAATGTTGGGAACACGGGAGATGTGAAAACAAAGGAGGAAGAGCACAAAGAATCCACAAAGAAAACTATGAGCGCAAAGCGAATTAATGAACCGGTTATAAAGCTCCCATCTCAGACAGATGAAAACCACCCAGAAATGCCACAGGTGGACACAGAAGAAAGCAGATTAAAACAAAATTATCAGGAATCAGTTTCTTATGATCCTTCAGCCACAACTGAAACTAGGAAGGATGAGACTGAAAGACCCTTGGTTGGCATGCAGCGGGACGTTGTTTCTACTCCACCAAGCTCTCAATTGGAGAAAGGTGCAACTGAAATTATGTTAGTTGATGCGATGAATGATGCCATGAGGGAGGGGGATAAGAAAGGGCAACCCGAGAGGGTTTTAACTGAAAAACAGTCAGAAGAACTAAACATGACTCACCCATCTCAAACTGTTCAGACTGGTGTAGACATATCAGAGATGCAGCAGGTTTCTCCTGTAGACGGAGAAGAAAAAACATTTAAGAAAAACCTACGGGCGGTCAGCTCTTATGATCCTCCATCTCATAATGACCCACACTCTGAAGAGAGAACAGAAAAGATTGAAGGGACAGTTAAGACCAAGAAAGGTTTGGGTAAACAGGAGCAGAGGGTTGGTTCTTTTGAACAAAATATTCAGATGGAGAAAGATAAAGCCAGTACAGCACTAATTAGGCCTGCAGAAACCATAAAACAGGAAGATGGAGGGATATCAACCAGGTTTCTAAAGGCACAAAAAGACGAAAAACCAACTGAGACTGATCAAGAGAGTCCAGAAGGGCCACATGTATTTCCGGTTGACACATTTGTTGAGAAGATACCAAAATCCGACACTAATGGCCTTTCAGAATCTGCCCAACCTCACTTTGGAGAAGGCATGGAAAGGACTGGTGGGAAAGCTGAGACGGTCTGTGGTTTGGTCGAACAGAAGCAGGAACAGATATTTCTTGGACCAGGTGTGGAGATGAAGAAAGATGCAGCAAAAATGGCCTCGCCGAAGACCCAACAGAAGGTTTATGAGGAGGAAGATATTGAAAGGGAATCTATGAAGACTTTACTGGCACACCCACATGAAGAACCCGAGAACAATCAGGACATGAATGAGAGCGAGGAAAAGGAATCATGTCAAAAATCAACTCTTAAAGATGATGAAAAAGCTGCCTTGATACTGAAAGCAAAAGAAAGCATTTTGAAGAAGGTGTTTGAAAAAGGAGTGAGTGAAAAGCAGGCAGCTCGAGAGCTGGAGGCACTGAGACAGAAGGAGGTGAGGAAGAAGCAAAGTAAGGGTATGACTGAAGGTGATAAGAGTACAGAAACCAAGAGAAACTCTGGTTTACCAAAAGACTGTGACAACCAAGGAACTGCTGAAAAGGACACAGTGGAGCTGGAGAAATATCCTACAGTTGTTCTTTCATCTCAAGAAAACCTGGGAGGTAAACCCAAAGAAACATCTTTAGGTGAAAAGAACACTGACCAGAAAGATGCTGGGGCTCTCCCTGCAGGCTCTAGAAATAAAAGAAGCAAGAGGAGCAAGAAGCTCCGAAGTCTAACGTCAACTGGAGATGAGCCCGAGATGGAGAAGGTATCCATGGATCTGAAAGATACAACCAAATCAGCTGCAGATCCAAAGTTGGACAGCGCAAATTTGGCTAAAGACCCGAGAATTTGCCTCGATACTGAAGGCCGCTCGGCCGATGGCAATGTCAAGAAGCCCAAGAGTCTAAAACCAAAAACTGAGAAAGAAAGACTAACTGCAGTTGGGGAATCTGATTCTGGCCCAAAAGATCCAAAGATTACCTCAAAATCTGCTCCTAATCAACGTTCAGAAAGCAGAGTTTTGTCTGAAGACCTGAAGTCGAGCGCTGATACTGACCGGTCAGTTGGTGCCACTGCCAAGAAGCCCAAGAGTCTAAAACCAACTAAAGCTCAGCCTGATGGGAAGAGGGAACCCACAGATTGTATGGAACAAAAAAATACAACAAATTCTGCTGCAGAGTCTGAATCCAATGGCACAGTTTGTGTCGAAGGATTGAAAATTAAAGGCAGTACTGATGATAAGTCATGTGGTGCAGCTACCAAGAAGCCCAAGAGTCTAAAACCAACTGAAGATCAGCCTGATAGAGAGAAGGTAACAGTACAGCTGAAAGACACAAAGAATGCAGCAAAATCAGGTGCAGAGGCAGAGTCTGACGGCACAGTTATGGCCAAAGACCTGAAAGTTAACACTGATACTGGTGATCAATCATATGGTGCAGCTACCATGAAGCCTAAGAGTCTAAAACCAATTGAAGATCAGCCTGATATGGAGAAGTTGACCCCAGATGGAAAAATGGATTCTGACCTGAAGGATTCAAAACTTTTCTTAAAATCTGCATCAAAACAACCATCAGAAAGCAAAGTTTTGTCTGAAGACCTGCAGGTCAGCGCTGATGCTGATGATGAGCCCTTCAATGACCCTGCAAGGCCTACAGATTATGGCAAAGTCGGCAAGGAGGACCTCCAGGTGTCTAAAGGTCTTCAGAAAAGTCAACTAAAACAAGCTGCAGACCTGAATGAATCAACAGATTTATCTCTGGAAGGTGTCAATAAAGACGACAGAAAACCCTTGAGTCTATCTGTTGCTCCTGATCCACAATCTGTAAAAAGTAAAAGAAAGAAAATACAGCACCCACTTGAAGCTGAAAGCTCTGATGTTCCTGAATCTCTTACAAGCCCGCAGCAAAATCTGGATTCTCCAGAAACAATAGTTTTATCTAAAGATGCTTCAGCTGAGTCGGAATCACCCAAAGTAATGGAAGCTGATCCAAACGCTGAGAGCTTAGAACAAGAAAAGGTCGAGGAGAACCAAGACGCCACTTTGAACAAAGAGGGAGCAACATCCACAGGAAGTAGGGTAAGGCAAAAATGAGTGCAATAAATTGCAGGAAAAACACACATTAGTGTTTAGATGTAAAAATAGGAATGTTTTATCTTCCTGCAGTCGTCGTCTTTGCGCCAGGAATGCCTTGAACACGATCAGCGAATCGTAGCCCTGCTTTCCGCGGTCCGACACATTGAAGTCCGCCTGAAACAGCAGCAGCAGCAGTCTGCGGGTCGCAGCCTCGTCACCTTAGACGACATCATCAGCCGGACTGAGGTAACGTATCCAGCTTAACATCTCAAACAACCGGACCTTTATGCTCTGCTTTAGTATTTTACTGGATTCCCATATTTAGACAAACCTTACAGGAATTACAGCGAACCAGAATCAATCAAACGTTTGTTTTCCTTCTCTAATCTTCACGCAGATGATGGACCTTGAACTCTCCGGCTTAGAGCCTGAAATAAGCAAAGAAGTTGAAGCTGCAGAGCGACTGTTGAGACCCAGACCTTCCGACGTTCCTCCACAGCTCCTACTGGCCTTGGAAAAAGATGGGCGGAGCTTATCTCGCGGATACGAGGCTGCCCGGACGCTCTCAGAGAGCATCCTGCTAAGCCTGCGACACCACAGGGACTCATGCAAGGTAGGAGAGTCAGAGACGTCCCCATGAAAGCCTCAGCAGATGCTGGGATGCTGAGCAGTCGGGTTTCAAATCTTTCAGGATGCAGTAACAGCAGAGCAGAAATCTCTGGGACAGTATGTGGACAGGCTGCTGTCTTGGTTGAATGAGACAGAGGCTCAGTTGGACGGAGGAACAACGGAGAAAACGGAGGGAGAGGACGGCCAGGCTGAGCTCACACAGCAGCTGAAGCTCTGCAAGGTGATCTCATTACAAACCTTAAAGATAAATATGTGGTTCTGTTCTGAGCCGAAATCTAAAATTCTCTAAATGACACAAATATACTAGAATTTTGAAGAGTTTATGCATCTAATCTATAGGACGTATAGTCTTTAATTTTTCACCTATTATAGAAAAATGATGCTATTTTACAACCCAGATACTTTAAAGGAATAATACACCCAAAACATGATTAGCCTTCATTTTCTACTCACCCCCATGCTGAACAACACTCTGGAGTACTTTTTTGATATCTCAAATGCATCTGGAGATCTGGGAGGCTTCTTGCTGTCTGCTGACATTCAAATAATGGAGGTCTATGGCGCCCGAGGCAGAAAGGTCCATAAAAGTCCACAAAAAACGTGTCAATATTCCTCAAATACTGCTCGTCCAATGTATTCCAAGTGTCCTGAGTGGGTAGCGTCCATAATTTACTCAAAACGAAGTCATTTAGAATGTTTTTAGAGCATAAACAGTAGTGTATAGGATTTCCTGAAAGCGCGTGCCCGCACGTTCACGACGCTACGGAAGCCGGCAGACCAACGAGACGAAAGTGCGCATTCAGCGTCTGCTCTGCCGATAATGCAAGCGTAGAAGAAGAAATGTGCTGTTTACCTGTGCAAAGAAAGAAATAACGAAAGAAAAATGTCTGAGGACTTCAGTGTTGAGGAAGAGCTGAATGCGCACTTTCATCTGGTTTGGTCTGCCGGCTTCCGTAGCCTCGTGAACGCGCTTTCAGGAAATCCTATACACTACTGTTTATGCTCTAAAAACATTCTAAATGACTTCGTTTCGAGTAAATTATGGACGCTACCCACTCAGGACACTTGGAATACATTGGACGAGCAGTATGGAGGAATATTGACACGTTTTTTGTGGACTTTTATGGACCTTTCTGTCTCGGGCGCCATAGACCTCCATTATTTGAATGTCAGCAGACAGCAAGAAGCCTCCCAGATCTCCAGATGCATTTGAGATATCAAAAAAGTACTCCAGAGTGTTGTTCAGCATGGGGGTGAGTAGAAAATGAAGGCTAATCATGTTTCGGGTGTACTATTCCTTTAAAAAGGCATAACATTTTGACCATGGGATTATCTCTGCACCATTATGAGGTATTTGGGGAAAACTTGAAGATATGCAAGTCTGATAAAGGAAGTATGGTGGTTCACAGAACGTCCAAAGCTGCAGTGGTTCAGAATAAAGTTTATTGCCAAGTAGGTTTGCACTTACAAAGATTTGACTTGGTGTCGATGGTGTAGACAAATTATATATATATATATATATATATATATATATATATATATATATATATATATACCCCCGATTGCTCCCACAATGGAAGCTCACTGCTCCCTAACAGAATGGGTTAAATGCAGAGGTAAATTTCTCCAATGTGAGCTCATTAAAGTCAAATTATTCTAATTATTATGACGTTTAGTGCATCTGGGCTGCAGGCTGGTTATGCTGAACCGTACCAACCACTGATAGAACCAACATAGGACAGAGAGGCAGCAGACACAGAGTTCTGGATAAAAAAAACGTGGTCCTGAAAACAGACCTTAGAGGAAAGATGGCAGCAGTAGGCATTATAGAAAGAAAGCAAGTAGATGGAGGAAGATCTGCTGGTTCTGCTGCTCTGACTATTTGACTAGTGATTATATTGTTCCGCCATAAACAAGATATTTTGTACACCTTTCCAAAATGAAAACATTTCCAGCCGTCCTGATTTGTCCTTTACTTGGATTAAACATGTTAAACGTTATTGTCTTTTTGGTTTAAAGGAGCAGCAAGTTAACGAATCCTGAACTTTTCTCATTTTCCTTTTGCTCGTCGTTCCCTTTAGGAGCTCCAGTCTTCACTGTCGACTCGCTCCAGCGAAGTCAACAGCCTGGTCTCAGACATCCAGCTGTTCATCTCTGAGCGCGCTCAGGACCTGGCCCCCGAGCAGAGCAGGCAGCTTCTGGGCCAGCTTCAGCAGCTGCAGACGGCCTTCCACCGAGCATCGGGCCGAGCTCAGGCCCGGGCCGACGCTCTGTCCGCTCAGCGGAGCAGAGAGGAGGAGAGGCGGCGCAGGGAGAGGCTGAGGGAGGAGGAGGAGAAGGACAGAGAGAGGAAAAGTGCAAAGGAGAGAGAGGTTTGGAAGGAAATGATGGGATTGTTTTTGCTTTTGCCTGAGTTTGATTCACATCATGCTTTCATACTTTAGATTTAACCCACTAACATCCACCATAGTGTGAACACAGATACAATCTAAGCTTGTCTTCTTTTCTTTAGAGTTATGTTAAGTGGAGTCCATGAGAGCGCAGAATTAGACCGCTGATTAGAAAATCATAGAAACACTTGTTTCCTTAAAGCAGCAGCCGTTTACTCTTGGATCACTGCTCTCAACTGATAATATGCAAGAGTTGCTACCGCCGGAAAAGCTGAAGTTCTTTGGTAATTTCAATGTCGACGTCAAGCAGGAAAGGTGCTGCCTTCTGCCAGTCTTAGGGTATAAAGTAATTTCTAAACCAGCAGTTTCAGGAAAGATGGTGAAAAATTTTAGGATCTTTCCAGAAATGATTGAGCAGTTTTACGTCCATGTCAGAGTGTGAAGCTCTGCTAAAGGAAATTACCAAAAAAGCAAAGAGATTCAGCTCAGACTCTTTGGTTTGGAGTTACTGAACTGAAACTAAAACAATATGGCAGCAGGTCTATGCAAAGCTGCATCTGAATGAAGGAAAAGAATTCTAGAACAGCTTCCTTTGGACAGATGAGACCAAAGAGGAGAATAATAATAATAATAATAATAATAATAATAATAATGACAATCCAATATCAATATCAGGCAACTGAACAAAACTTTGCAGCCTCAACAGCTGTCATGCACAGTGGAAGACCACTCATGATATGGGCTTCCTTTTCACCTTGCAGTTACTGAGCCATGAACCCCCCTTATGTCAAGTATTCTCCAGTCACAGGATTATGCGATGGTCTAGTCAAGGTCCAAAAATCGACTTTAAAATCCATAGAGACAGGGCGAGCTTTGGTGGTACAGCGGTTGGTGCACACGACCCATGAGTGGAGGCCTTAGTCCTCGACGTGGGCGACTCGGGTTCAAATCCGGCCACTGGTCCTTTTCTGCATGTCCCTATACCAGGGTTCCTGCGGGTCCTTAAAAAGTCTTAAAAGGCATTGAATTCTTCAAAATAAATCTAAGGCCTTAATTGGTATTAAAATGTCTTAAATCAGTCTTTTGTAGGTCTTAATTTTTAAAACATCATCAATAGGATTATTTTTATTACTATTTATTTTTGTAATCTAAATAAAACGTTTCAATTGACAATTTTTTTTTATAAAAAAAAA